AGTTGAAGTTAACCGAGGTTATGTTAAAAGAAGATTGGTTTAACACTTGTTGAAATTTTGAGAAAAATTTACAAGTTAAGCCAAGGTTATGTTGAAAGAAATTTCTACATACTTGCAGAGATTACCATGTTGCCAAGACTTGGAAGAAATTTGAAGACAGAAGTCTTGCTAAGAGTGAAGTATCGAGTTGTAAATAACACTTGCAAAGATAAACCGATTAGTGGGTATAACCGAGGTGTTACACCCCGAGGAGATTGCGCAGTTAAGGTGTATTTTGAAGACATGCAAATCATTTTAAGTATAGAATCATACAAGAGTAAAAAGAAGACACATACAACCACGTTGAAAGAAGAAATTAAAGAATGGATTCAGAAAAAGAAAGAAGACACTTCGGCCTAACATTGAAGAGTGGTTGTTTAGATTACAAAAAGGCCGGTGTGAAGTACGCCGGTGTCAGCCGGTGGTAGTAAGCAAAGAAGTGCAACGAAAGCCTCACCGGAGAGAGAGAGTGAAACTGGTTGCAGAAAGCTTTGCAAAAGCAGCAATGGAGGATTTGAGAGAGAAAGTTTGAACAAGAACGAAGATGCAGAAGTGAAAAGACGGAGAGAGAGTTGATTTTGATCAAAAGCATGAAATGGCGGCAAAATGGCAATTATAGGTGCCTTGGACGACGTGCTTGTGAGACGACGCACGCAAAAGTGATGCGACTTGATGGCGCGTATTAGGTACGGTCTAGCAGGGGAAAGACGCATGGTAAAAACGATTGAAATACTGTGCGTGCTAGCTCATACGCGTGCTGGAACTCTTGGAGTTCTGGATTCAATGAAGAAAATACCTCGGCTAGGAGGACGGTTTCGGCTGAGAAACTTGAATGAAGTTGGTTGTTGGTTCTAAGGCATTGATGAAAGCAGACTATAGGTCTCGGTCATATTAAGCCGACGAGTTCTGACTTCGGCAATAGATGATGAAGCGAGCTTAGCCGATGTGCTAAATGGAAGAAATGATATAGGTTCCATCACCTTAGGATGCCGAGGTAATAGAACCTAGGGGGCAGTTGTGGGGGCATAATTTTTGAATGACAACACGTGGCCTAAGTGTCACCGAAGTGCCGGCCGAGGTGTCACGTGTCCTGGTCATGACGCCGAGATCATCTCGGTTAAGTCGAGGTTATCTGCGAAGATATCGGAATTCGGAATAAGCAGATAAGGGACAAGAGTCATCAGACGACGACAGCAATCGGAAAGGAGTGAAACTGGTTGCAGAAGAGGGAGAGAGTGAAACTGGTTGCAGAAAGCTTCGCAAAAGCAGCAATGGAGGATTTGAGAGAGAAAGTTTGAACAAGAACGAAGATGCAGAAGTGAAAAGACAGAGAAATAGTTGATTTTGATCAAAAGCATGAAATGGCGGCAAAATGGCAATTATAGGTGCCTTGGACGACGTGCTTGTGAGACGGTGCACGCAAAAGTGATGCTACTTGATGGCGCGTATCAGGTACGGTCTAGCAGGGGAAAGACGCATGGTAAAAACGGTTGAAATACTGTGCGTGCTAGCTCATACGCGTGCTGGAACTCTTGGAGTTCTGGATTCAATGAAGAAAATATCTCGGCTAGGAGGTCGGTTTCGGCTGAGAAACTTGAACGAACTTGGTCGTTGGTTCTAAGGCATTGATGAAAGCAGACTATAGGTCTCGGTCATATTAAGCCGACGAGTTCTGACTTCGGCAATAGATGATGAAGCGAGCTTAGCCGATGTGCTAAATGGAAGAAATGATATAGGTTCCATCATCTTAGGATGCCGAGGTAATAGAACCTAGGGGGCAGTTGTGGGGGTATAATTTTTGAATGACAACACGTGGCCGAAGTGTCACCGAAGTGCCGGCCGAGGCGTCACGTGTCCTGGTCATGACACCAAGATCATCTCGGCTAAGCCGAGGTTATCTGCGAAGATATCGAAATTCGGAATAAGCAGATAAGGGACAAGAGTCCTAAAATGAGAGAGGATTTCAGTTTGGGTAAAGATAAGACTCTTAGAGAGTTTATCCCAATCTTACTGGGAGTCCCAGATTAGCAGTAATCCTAAGTCCATTGGAGCTAGGCTTCTATTGGGGCTAGAATTGTGTTGGCTATAAAAGTGAGGCGCCCCCATGAGTCTAAGGTATGTCTTTTATGCTTTGTCTAGTGAGTTAAGCATTATTGATTATTTTTTAGAGATATTTTATTGATTTGATCGTCGGAGTGCCCCCAAGTGGACGAACCACCACCGGAATCTCTTCTTTCTGTTGCAAGTCATTCGGGCTTAATCTATTCTGCCAATGTTCTCCAACTGAGTGCTTGATTGGCAGTGTGGTTGGAAATTGCCACACACAATTATATCAAAAAAAATACCAACTAGCACTTTTAATAGGAAAAAAAATGTTTATTTCTATTTGATTTTAGCAAAAGTCACTTTTTAACTATTTAAGCCAAAAAAATTTATTTTTGTATTTTAATTTGCTTAATTGACAATTGAGATAAAAAAAAATCTAACTTGTTTGGTTTAAGCAATTGTTTTAATTTATAGATACACCTAACATAAATGCACATAAACAAATCGCTAAAAAATTTACTAAACACAAAAAATATAAAAAAATATGAAAATTCAATAAATTTTTTGTATTCTTGTGTATTTATTGTTTTTTAAAAATATTTTGTTACAAATATTTTACTTTTTAGTAAGTTCTTATAGTTTAGAAGGACATAATTTTTTTTTTATAAAATATAAAACCAAAAATGACAAAAAAAAATATAAACTTTTAATAGTGATTAATAATTTGAATGCGCATATTTAATAACATATTATGTTTAGACTAATAATATTATGACACATCATTATGACACATGTGAATGTTAATCACATTCTAATTGTAATAACCTAATTTTAAAAAGAATTTAAATTAATTTTTTTTATAATTTAATAGAAGATGCATAAATTAAGAAATGAATATTAATCTTATTCTAGTAACATAATTTAATGAAAAATCTAAATTTAAAATTAATAATATAAATTAATTTATAAACCAATCATATTGTGACACATATTAACAAAAATTAAACATAATAATAAAAAAAGAATTGCAACTTTAGACTTTAGTAGGATGACAACATTTTTTTAATTATAATAGTATATATATATATATATAGATTTTGTATGAAATTTTGAGACTCTCATAATATCTCTTCTTAAAAGCATTATTTTGTAAAATATATAAATAATCTCAACGTCACTATTATTGCTCCTAAATTTAGATTTAAAACTTATAAATCCTGGGATAGATCATTGTAATTTTAAATTTTCATATTTAGTGACTCTCAAATTTGAATTTTGAACTAGATTAATATACTTTTCATTATTTTTAGATTTGATATACTTTTCATTTGAAAGTTATAAATTATAAGTGATATTAATTTTTATTTATTTACTTATTTTTGCTTGAATAAGAGTTAATCAATAGAAGATTTTTTTAATTTTTAAAATTCAAAAAATTATGAAATTTAAAATGGAAACTTGAAGTTTCCACAAGACTTAAGGATTAGAATTTCATTTTTTCTTATATAATTGATAGATATAGATATATAAATAAAACAATCAATTCTCAACTCTCTTTTCATTTATAATTCACAACTTATTTCCTTGAAACTTACCAATACCAAAAGCAAGTAAAAGGTTTAAGAAATGGTTGTGGGCTGTTGTTGCCTGTTATGTACCTGATTCTTATAAGATAGAGATATGAATATACCTCCCTCAAAAACACGATACACGCACTTAAGTACTAAAAATGTACTTTTAATCTTAATAAGTCTCTAAAAAAATGTTTACTACAACATTTAAATAACCCATTTATATAAACAAGTCTCCTGTTAATGTACACTAAACCTAACCCACTACTCTAACCCACTACATTCACTCCACTAAACCTAACACACTTACCATCTCCACTACCACCCACCACCTCCACTACCATCCACTACCACCACTCACTTACCTCACACCTCTCCTATATAATAGCTTGTAACATACAAATCAATATATATCAATCTTAAATAACCCATTTATATAAACAAGTCTCCCATGATACTTGCCCGGAAATTTCCACTCGACGACCAAGAACTAGCTAGCTACGAGCCTCTCCTCTCCTCTCCTCTCCTCTCTAATATAAAATTAGAATCCCATCATGCTTGACGTTTTATTTCAACAAAAAATTGATACAGATCCATGATTTCTTTGTGGCCTTCAAATTAAAACACTCATCATTATATTTCATAGTAAGAAAAATTAGAAAACTCAAATAGGTTAGTATTTCAAAAGGAAGTGTGAGATATATATTCAAATTAAACGGAGTAGTTATCTAGTTTTTCTAAAATACTATATTGGCATGGTGTGTTTGTCCAATAATAAGGGAATATATATGGTTAAAAAAAAAAATTTAGAGACATTACGAAATACCATTAGCATGTATTTTTTTGAAAGTACTGTATTTTTTAAAAACTAATAAGGTTGATAGAAGCCACGTCTAGTATGAATTTAGTTCACATATTTTGTTTTTTTGTGATAATTTTTTAAATAATATTTGTGGGACATGTAGCGTAATTTTCTTTAACATAAAAAATTCAAGGTGCTTAGATACTAACCTTGCATCTTTATATGTCATGGATCTTCTAATCCAATTTTTTTTTTTAAACTTATTTATATTATTTATTTTTAATAAATTATTAAAAAAATTATACAAAATAATTTGACACAAACTATCAAACATAAAATAAAAAAAAAAAATTATAGATAATTCATATAAACTGCTTCAATTTCGGGAGTAAGTAATTTATTAATAATATTTTAAATAAATTTAATTACTGCTACATTGAGATTGATATTGATATTGTTATTGTTATTGATTTGATATAAGAAAAAGAGAAAATATCTTGTTTTGCACAATAGTAAAGGGATGGACAAGTCGTCAAAGTGGGGGGATGAAGACGGTCCAACTAAGAATTCGTCTTCTTCATTTTACATCCTTCTAATAACAATAATAATAATAATAATAATAATATAATACGACGACCAGCTCCTCCTTCTCCTTTGCTCAACCGGCTCATCTTTATCTCAGCCGTCCTTCCGATCCATCCATCCATCCATCCTTCCTTATTTGATCTCTCTCTCACCTTTTTGTTGTGAATCCGATCAATCATCGCCGATTCTACCACTACCACCACCACCCTCCACTACTGGTTTGCTCTTTAACCCACACACCACCACACTGTCAGTCCGCTATACCCTATACCCTATACCATACCCACCTAGTTTCACACTTTTAACAACAAGATTAAACAACAAAGGTAAAGAAAGGTATCTTGTCTTGCCACTCTTTTTATTTGTTTCAATTCCCTCATTTATTCACTCATCTATGCTTTTTCATACTCCACCTCTTCCTTAATTTGCTTTTTGCACCTCCTTTTTTGCGTTTTATTATTCGTATTTATTTGTTCCTGGTTGGGTTTGCTTTTGTTTTGGGTCTGATTTTGATCTTCTTTTTTGGGGGTATTTTTTCTCTCTCTCTCTCTCTCTCTCTCTCTCTGGGTTTTGATTTGTTGGGTTCGATCTGAACTGAATTTAAGTAGATGGTGAAGAATTGATTGATCATTACTTAAATTCTCGTGATATGTTTGTGCTGAGCAATCTTTTTTGTTCCTTCTTTATTTTACAATTATAATAAATTTCTTGTGCTAATCCTTTCGGAACAGTGGAAGGATATCAAAATTCAAGCTGCAACCTTTCTAATATTATGATTCATGAGGCTTTTCCCCATATTGCCTATCCCAATATTTGGGCCTTTTGTTCTATTCAAAGCTTAGAGCAAAAAATTGCTAGAAATTCTCCAGGATTTTTATCATGTTACATATAGTTTAAACTCATTTTCTTTAATTTCTCATTAATTGAATTGCCCACTGTAATCACTAGCAAGATGGTTGTTGCTCTCAAAATGTATAATGTAGATAGTGGCCATTTTTAGTTTTATTTCCACCCTCTTCCTAAAACCAAACCAAACCAAACCAAACCAAACCAACCCTAGCCTTAAGTCCCATCAAATAGTGTTGTGAATCATTCTTCTCCATTCGACTCTATCCAAGGTCATATCGTTAGTCAAATTAAGAAGATTCATATCTCTATATATTATACTTGCCCACGTCAATTTAGGTCTGCCCCTTTCCCACTTCGATCTAATGTCACTGTTTCTCATTTTTTCACTACTGGCCTTGTTGGTTTCTATTATAGATGACTAAACCATCTCAATCTATTTTTCCTCAACTTATCTTCTATCGATACTACTCCTACTCATTCTCGAATATACTCGTTCATAACTCTGTCTTTTCTAGTCTTGCCACATATCCACCTAAGCATCCTCATCTCAACAACATTCATCTTATCTACATATTGTTTTTTAGTTACTCGACATTCCGTCCCATACAACATCGCTGTTCTAATAGTCGTTCTATAGAACTTCCTTTTTAGTTTAGTGGGTACTCGTTTATTCACAGTACCCTAGACGCACTGTTCCACTTAAGCCACTATGCCTTAATTCTATGGACCACATTCGTTCCAATCTCCCCAGCCGTTGTGATATCCTAAACAACGAAAATGTTCACTCTTAAGTAGTGCTTGGTTCTCATTTTTCACTTTTTCTTTGCTTCCATTGTTACTGTTACTAAAATTGCACTCTATATACTCTGTCTTAGTTCTGCATATCCAAAATCCTTCAGATTCAAGTGTTTCTCTCAAAGTCTCCAACTTAGTGTTAACTCCTTCTCTAGTCTCATCCACTAACACGATATCATCTGCAAAAAGCATACACTATGGCACATCATCCTGAATATCTCTCGTTAACTCATCCATAACGCTCATGCTACGTTACTCTAAATTGCTATTCGAGGCCTAACTACAATTTCAATCAATATCAGCAAGCACAAATATGACCAACAACACTGATGATATGGGTTACAAAACTACATCTTTAAGCAGTTTAAATATGTTGTTTCCTTTCTCTCTCTCTCTCTCTCTCTCACACACACACACACACACACACACACACACACACAATCAGTCAATCAATCAATGTGATATATTTTAAGCACATTTCACCTCCCTGCCCGAGCGCAACAAAGGTGACCATTACAAGCTGAAGTGTAACAATGCTTACCTTTGCATAGGCTGTTTTTGTGCTATATTTTCAATTATCCAGTGACGATCATTGTCATATGTATATGATCCAGATTTTCTTGTAAAAAAATAAATTTAAGTAAACAAGAACAATACTATCAAGGTCATTAGATATTTGGGTTGCACTCTAACAGTGCTTTGAGGTGTGGTTCCCTTATTTTTCTTGTTCTGAAATCCTTTCAGCTTTCTAATTATTATTTTCTTTATAAAAAAAGGATCTATTTATGAGTTTGTTTGCTGAAGGAAATTTTTGACACATCCAGCTTGTTCATTAAAGAAAACAATCATGAGCTGCTTCAGCTGTTGCATGGAAGATGATATGCACAAGGCTGCTGATAATGGACCATTCATGACAAATACAGCAGGTAAATTGTCTCTGCTCAGGTTGTAGTATTTAGAAAACTTGCAATTTTTTCTCTTTCATTCTTTGAAATGGTAATGAAGGCTTTTCATCTTTGTTGGATTAATGTGGTGAAGGGCATATAAATTTATTTTTTCGCACTGAATTTCAAAGTTTGTATTCCATGCTTCAAGCATGAAATCAGACAGATTAACATATCTTCCATTTCATTTGTGTTTCCCGACCTTGGCAAAGACCCTAACATTTTCAGGGTGATATCTCATGTTGGCCAGTTTGTACATCTATCTTTGCTTGGTTTACTTGTGTGGTTAGTTTCCTTGCTCACTTTTTATTCAGTTGCTTGGATCTGTCTTGTGCGATTGTAAGTCTTACATGTTAGCATCATGCGCTTTTGTTTTATACTTTCTAAGGCTTCTGATTTCTTCCAAACTGACACGACGGAAATTTATCATTAGGCAACAATGGAGGTTATCATGCTGCTGAAGCTGCACCGAAGGACACAAAAACTGTAGATGTTCAGCCTATTGCTGTCCCCTCCATCCCAGTGGATGAATTGAAGGAAATAACAGACAACTTTGGTACAAAGGCATTAATTGGTGAGGGCTCATATGGAAGAGTTTACTATGGTCTTCTCACCAGTGGGCTGGCTGCAGCCATTAAAAAGTTAGACTCCAGTAAGCAACCAGACCAAGAATTTTTAGCACAGGTTGGGCTTGCCACAATGCTTTGAGTTTCACAATGTTACATCATAACAAAATTTTTATCAGTTTCTTTATGACTTACCAGGTTTCAATGGTATCAAGACTGAAACATGAAAATGTTGTTGAGCTTCTTGGTTATTCTGTTGATGGCGGTCTCCGAGTCCTTGCATATGAGTATGCTTCGAATGGATCTCTTCATGATATTCTCCATGGTAAGTAATGTCATTTTTTTCCTTTTCTAAGTGGACTCTTATTCCTGGGCAACACCACTACCGCATGGAGAAGGGTTAAATTATTTTTGAAGTGTCTACTCTCAAGTGACTGTTAAGTTAATTTTTGGTCTTTTTAAGTATGAAGGTTTGTTACTTTGCCAATCAGTATATTTGAGGCCTTTTTATGGTTAGTTCTTGCAAGCTTAAAGAATGGTTGACTGCAGCCTCTTGCTAGAAAATGAATTCGAGAAAGGATGTATTGCTCTGTTCTTACAAAGATACATGATGCTGTCATTTAGAACTGTTCAAGTATTGCCTCAGAGCAACTAAAATCTCCAGAGAGTAATACGTAGAAGTCACTTCCCTTTCATGGATCTAGCCCCCTTAAGCCAATAGTGCCCATGTATTTAAGTGTATTTCTATTTTAACTTGATAATTTTTTTAATCCTTTAGTGGCAATAGAACATGACTTCAGAACTAAAAAATGTGTCCTATAGGTTCAGCACCATCTAATAAGCTTTGCCACATAAAATTCAAGCAGTGGAAGCTCACAAAAGTATAATTGAAATGCCAAGAACTAACCACATTTTTTTTTTCTTCTAATTCATGATTTTAACATCTCAGTTGGGTGCTTGACTTGAGTTGTGGGTAATTTTTAGCTCCTAGGTGATGCTTCTAATATTCTTCAATTTGTGGATGTAGGACGGAAAGGTGTCAAGGGAGCACAGCCAGGTCCAGTTCTGTCTTGGTTGCAAAGGGTTAAAATTGCTGTTGGGGCTGCAAAGGGACTTGAATATTTACACGAGAAGGCACGGCCTTCTATTGTCCATCGTGACATCAAGTCCAGCAATGTCTTACTTTTTGATGATGATGTCGCTAAAATTGCGGATTTCGATCTGTCCAATCAAGCCCCTGATATGGCAGCACGTCTGCATTCCACTCGTGTTCTAGGAACATTTGGTTATCATGCTCCAGAGTAAGCTACTATTTTTGTTTTGAACTATAGATGCTTTGAATTTTTTCAAATAACTCTTGACAAAGTGGAATGGCAGACATTCATGTGTCCGACCTCATTTTATTGGGACACAAGACACAGTTTGGTTTGTTTTGGCTTTGAATTGTTGCTTGTTTCCTGAATTGTCATAGTATCTGATAGGGAAGTATGTCATAGGCATCCTTTGATAGTTCAGACCCAGGAATCCCTCATTCAAAAATGTAGCAATCATTCAGTTATTGAACCTGGGGATGGGTCTGAAGGGTAAAAGAACCAAATAGTAGATGAATCCACTGATTGTCCCCTCCCCAAAACACCAATTACAGGTGTTTGACAATCTTTCTGGTCTGCCCCGTCTGTTAGTTGTTTTGTGAATTACTCGTTCTGCTTGAGCGTCATGAACCCTTTTTGGCTCTCTCTCTCTCTCTCTCAAACACATTCACAATGGTCTTAATTTTTTCTGATTTTGGGTGGCAGATATGCAATGACCGGACAACTGAGTTCAAAGAGTGATGTTTACAGCTTCGGTGTTGTTCTCTTGGAACTCTTGACTGGGCGTAAACCTGTTGATCATACACTCCCACGTGGACAACAGTCACTTGTGACATGGGTACTACTTTTCATCTTTGTTTTATTCCCCCTGTTAACTGAAGTGTGCTTGTCTGTGCAATTTGGAACTTTTGCCCATTAGTTTAGTAATTTTCAATCTGAGCATAATATTTTGCGTGTGTATCCAAATAGGCAACACCAAAACTCAGTGAAGATAAGGTGAAGCAGTGTGTTGACACTAGACTCGGAGGAGAGTACCCTCCTAAGGCGGTCGCAAAGGTAATTTATCTATACAAATATTACATTGTTACTGATATCTAATTGTATAACCTCAATGACATTTTCACTTTAATCTTTGCCAAATTCACTTGTAATTATTTAACGCAGAGTGATTGAATTCAAGTTAATTTATAGAAACAAAGGAATGAATGAATTTCTGAAAGTACTCTACATCATTTAATTCCTTCACATTGTCATGTGTTGATATCAGATGGCTGCTGTTGCTGCCTTGTGTGTGCAATATGAAGCTGATTTCCGGCCAAACATGAGCATTGTTGTTAAAGCTCTCCAGCCTCTGTTGAATGCTCGACCTGGACCTGCCAGTGAAACACCAAACTTGTGAAGTTTAATTGTGTCAGCCTTTGTTGTCGAATTTGTCAGTGAGATTTGTTTGTTAGTAAGTTCATATACCTTCATTGGACCCTTCAGTCATCAAGAAACAAAAGTGGACTTTTCTTTGTAATTTACAGAAATCTTCTTGCAGATGTACTGACTTGACTCAAGTAGTATGGCATTTATTTTTATTTGGCTTGTATTAAAGGTTTTGAATTGCTTGGCAGAGCCTTGTGTTCTTTGATGTGGTTTTTGTCTTAATAGAATCAATTATAAGGAGGAAGGAAAGTGAATATTGTAATAGAATTTTCAGCTGGTTCTGAAAATTACTCGGCAACACTCTTGCTGGCTGCTTTCCTTGAATGGAGATGTATGGTTATATTTTTCATGGATTGTTCCTTGGGATTTGATTTTTTATCCTTTTCGTTTGTGCAATTTCACAATAATTTGCCCCGCCCCTGCAGCTCTCTCCCTGTTATAAGAAAGAGGGTGGAGATGAGAATTGCTTCCCCTGCCCCATTTGTCCTGTATAGCTCCAATTACATTGAACAATACCTTTTATTTATTTATTTATATCTGTGTATATGTAATTTATTTTGTTAAGTATAATCTGATTAAAACACCAATATTTCTCATGTTCTCTTCTTTTATCTTTTCATCTTTAAATTTTTTTCTTATAGCTTATAATCTATCATATGTAATATTATTTTATTTAGTTTCGTCCCCACCTTTATAGCTCAACACCTTGATTTCCCTGCCTTGATTAAAAAATAGGGGGTGCGAGCAGGACACCCCAAACCCACCCCGCTCTGTTGCGATCCCTAGGTAAAATTTGAGAAGCATGAGTGTTGAGTCTATTTCTTGAGACGGATCTGGCTTGATTACAAATGCTGCAAACTTCAATGTATTTGCACTTCAATGCAATTTGTGGGTTGATTAGCTAACATTTTGTGAAAACATAATCACTAATAATGTTTTACAATTTTCTTATAAAACGTAATTACGCTTTCGTTCTCTCTAAAGTATGATGAAAATGTAATAATCAACATTTTTTTGTTTTGTTTTGTTTTTTGTTTTTTTGATGAAGTGTATTCTAAATCTAATTTGAAAATTAGAAAGTTTAATCAAATTGTGGATGTTAGACAAAGGGGTGATTGCCAAGGTCATTTTTACTTCAAAAAAACACGTATTCACCTAATATGGAAATGTAGGTGCTAAAAGCCTAAGATTTTAAAAAGAGTTTAACCGAATGTATAATAGTGTATAATTATTCCTCCATATTTAATTCCCAAAATGGAAATGTAGGTGCTAGAAAGCCTTAGGCTCTGTTTGGTTGTGAACTGAAATGGTGATTTTACACCTTAATTCCACAATGGTGCTTGGTTAGTGGTCTGAAATGTTAATTACAAAACTTTGCACAGAACACCTGTCATGACAGAAGCGTTGTTTCTTTCCACATTTACAAAATTTGGCTTTGCGGGACGTCCGGCCGATCGTCCGGCCGGTTGACCGGAATTTTTTTTTTATATATAATCGGAAAAAATATTTTCTGAATTTTTTTTAATTTTTTATGTGGTTTAAAATAATTTTGAATTGTATGTTTAGTTATGAGTTGTAAATTTTTGTATCACATATCAAATGTCACATCAACAATTCATCACTCAAATCAAACCTCTTTTCCAAAACTATTTTCAAAACTCTTTACCAAACAAATTTTCTACACTCAAATCATAATTTTACAACATACAAACTCAAAATATAACTCATACTCTCAAATCACATTTAGAAAACACAACCAAACGTAAGCTTAGATTTTAAAATGAGTTTCACCGAATATATAATAGTGTATAATTATTCCTCTATATTTAGGATTGGTTTGGCATACATGAAAAAAGACAAAAAATTATTAAAAAAGTCAAAAAGTTACTCCAACTATATGGATTGGGTGGCAAAAATCTGTCTGAATCTGCAGAGGGTAAAAAGACATTTCTGCCCTTGCTTTTGAGTGGTGCCTCTGAGACGGATATATGACAATACACCATCTCTCACCTGAAAGTTCTCATTTCCTTCTCTAAGCTACACTCGTCGTTGAACAAGCAAGATAGTCCCTCAGTCGATTCAACGAGGCTAGTCTATCACCCTTACACCGCCAACGGCCGGAGATCCGTCACACCCTTCTTACAGCACCGCCACAACCGTGCCAAAGTCAGACCTCGACGCGATCGCATGACAATAGTAATCGATGGGAAAGACCATCCGTCGTCCAGATCTGTACCACCGCTGACCAGATCTACACCACTTCGGCCTGTATCTCCCAAACTAGAATGTAACATCTCTTCCACGCCAATGAATTTTTACATGTCAACCAATCCATACAGATCCCCTTTTTCCACGAAGTGGTAGCTTCTTCTGCTCCATTTTTGACTTTTTGTTAAGTAATCCACAGTATACGTCGGTGGTGTTAACCGCCTTTGTCTTTCTCTCTCCTCTTCTTCTTTTATTTCCCTGTATAAACTGTACATAAGAATTCTACAGTAGCATCATACCGAAACATGGACCACAATCTATTTTCGTTCTATTGTTGACATGCATAGCCTTGTTTAATTTTGATGTCCTTCACTGAAAAAAAAAATGCCACATTTGGAAAATCACTATACTGGTTTGGGGTCAGACATGGGAGGGTATGACCAATTTTTGCATATTGTATTTCTTGAATATGTGTAACCAAATCAGCTCATACGTATTTTGTTTTGGCTGATTAGTTGACCTAATAATAAAAATTATAAATTGTAATTTTGCATTGAAAATTAATAAAAAAAATTGAACCTGAAGGAGGAATTGTGTGGTCATTGCTTCTATACTCTGCATGACTTCCATGGCTGCATTCGTTGCATCATACACAGAAGACAGATATGCCTGTTCACAAACACACACACACACACACACATAAAAATTAAATGAAATTGTTAATAAGATTAGAAGAAATGTAAATGCTAATATAAACAAAAACCGTTTTGTTAGGAAGAGGTTCATTTGCAAGGAAAAAGCTACGAGAAAGGGATAAGTAGATTGGATATTTTAAAAAGAATCAATCACAAAAGATAAAAAAAGGTTGGACCCATGAGGATTTTTTTTTTCTCTTTTGCAAAACACAACCCAATAACTTGATTTTGTGTCAATTTTAGTTCCCATAGTTCTAATTGTATTAATTGTCTATTATTTTTCCATATTGTATCAATTTAGTTACAAGTTCTCTTGCCGCTATCGTAGAGTTGTGAAGTTGCCAAGTTATGGAATGTTCAAAAGTCCCAATACTACTGGCCATTACCCTTAAAACGAATAGGAACAGAAAAATAGATCATTGGTAGGAATTTTTTTGATAGTAAGTGAAAGAAAATAAAATAGTCCCAATTGAATTTTTAACAAATAGTTAAGCAGTCCATTCACATTTTCGGTACACCCACTTGTTCACATGTTCCTTAATTGATCATCATACAACAGGAGAACAACTTCAACATGACATGCGTTACAACAATCCTATGAAATTTTTGATTGTAACTGACATGGAAACAAACCTATAACCTCACATTAGACTCTACTTCATATTTTGTCATACCTTGCTCCATGTCCATATCATCCCACATTACAGTTTTCTTCTATGGTTGTTCCAAAAACAGACCATGGCTTCGTTTGTATTGTCTGCTACTTGTACGCGGACAACACCCTTCTGTGTGTGTGGTTTTGGCCCGTTTGTTGTGAAGATTTCAAGATCTTCGAGAAATTCGGGGTCGTGCATACTACCAATGCCCTCGTGTAGTGGTGAGTATTTAACAGTTATGCATTTATATGTTTTCGAACTACACTAATACATGTGTCTATTTAGCCATGTCGTTCTTGGATTGGCTAGTGTGACGACCATGACCAAACATCCGTGCATGACACTCACAACTCAGTGTTGGACATGGTCTTCCAGTTGAAGGCTGACATCCTCAACCTGCAGCATGTTTTGCGTCTCTTGCAATTTGTGACGTTCGTCTTGTCTGTTGTTGTTGTAATGTTGTTGTTGTTGCATAGTTGATGTGCTTCGGTTGTTAGGTTGTATGTACTACCCACCTGCACATTTGTTTTTTGATTTCGTACAATGTCTCCAATGCGTATTTCAAATGGTTAAGCAATATGCTATTTTCGGTTATCCATTATGTTGCCATGTTATGAATGCCCATTTTACGTTTGTGAAATACTTGTTTTTCCACGTATACCACAATTACTGCTGCATTGTAATAGCCAAATGGAGCACGCCCAAACGCAGTCGACACCTTCCAAAAATTTGCGTAAGCGAGGTAGTAAACAGACTCAGCTACAGTCCGCATATGTGCACAAAGCAGCTTGGGACTCTGACACAGTGTAGATTTTCTTGCAACTTGTTATCAAAGAGTTGGACTTTGGTTTCAATGGTAGCTTCCATACCATGACAATGCACGGATACAGGGTTGTCTGCAAGGACTTCCAAAAGCGTACAAACAAGGTCCATGATGTGAAGCAAATGTAAAACAAGTACGGGTTACTAAAAAAGGATTGGCAGTCGTGGTCATGCCTTATGGACAGTAGGCATGGGCCAACTGGCATAAGTTACAACGAAGCAACTGGTTTGATACAAACATCTAATGAATAGTGGGCGAATTATGAAAATGTAACAATTCCATATTTTTTTACTTACGTAAAAGGTGATACTCATGCATATATTACAATCTTTATTTGCTTAGATCACAAAAAAAAAAAAAAAAAATCAATTTGTACATAGCCGAAATAAATGAATTGAAAGCACCCCAATTCTGCATGGTGCATGTTTATGTATATTTGTTAAAAATTCTTGTGGGTAAACTATTAATGTTCTCGGGTTGTCCTTTTCACCAATGACAAGTATGAAATCTTTGTTTTGTATTGCCTTGCCTCAAACAATTGAGAACTTGATGTTTACAAATTATTTGTCCAATTGATTATAAATCAGACAGGGACATCAGAATCTCAATGATGCTTTTTATTTGGAAATCTCTATGATGGACAAATGTTGTAACACTTGGACAATGATCTTTGCATTATCTACCGTGTCCATTTTTTTGTAGTCAAATTTGTTTCTACCCATTTTTTAACCAATCTTGTATGATTATCAGCTTATTTTTTAACTACAAAATGAATTTGATTGTTATGGTGCCAATAACTTATGTAATTTATGGATTTTGTCACATGTTAAGAAGCTTAACAAGACCCTTACATTATTTCAGTGTGCTTTTGGTCATATCTTACCCAGGTTGTTTATTTTATAGAGATGATTTAAACTTGAATTGCCCTTCCTTCCTGTTTCTGCCTTTTGGTTTTTCTACTGTATTCTTTGGTTTTGTTGTGTTTATTATTTATATATATTGGTTTTGTCTTTTTAACCAAAAAACAATCATGGAGTAGGAGAGGGTTTTTTATTTGCATTTGTTTACCACAGATACTGTCACGCCCCAAGCTCCATGACAATACCGCACACTCATTTAAAAGAGCATGCAAGGTTAAGAGTCCAATCACAAAAACCAACATTGTAAAATACTCAAATTAAATATTTAATTATCATAATGTCAAAATCCATAAAAATAAATAATTCTTATATGAAATTGCCCACTAAGTCCACTAATTTAATCCACTAACAAAACAATAATCCAAGTAATTAAATCATAGTCCTACTCTCGGCACTCTCACAAGTAAAAATCTCGGGCAGCTCTACTCCTTAGAATCTGAAAAAAAAAAAAATAAGGGTAAGCTAGACAGCCTAGTAAATAACCAACCATCACTGCTAGCTGGATCAAGTATACAAAAAAATAAAATAAAATAAATAGTTGATAACCAATAAATATAATTTTTGCTACAATTCAATAAATGAACAATTATTTGTAAGATGGTTTCATAGCTAAAAAATAAACAATGTACAATACATTTTAAATGAAAAGCCAACAAGATAATTCAAAGTAATTCGTTGTTCAAAATCGATGGTTCGATATTCAGATAATTCAATGATTTGATTCACAAAACCCAAGTCTTGGTGACTACGGTCACTTAGCTCGTGACAAGGCCCAGAACCACACATAGGCCGGTGGTAAAGCCCCAAAAGAAACTAGTTTCTGTGCCAATAAATAACCCCTATTGGCTAGGGTCCAAATCATAGTCAGACTAGAGTGATGTTCAAAATTCAAACAATACACAACTTTGAACACAATATTCGATGTTTTCAGAATAAACATTTAGTACAATTTTCATAATAGTTCCATAAAATATTCAAATAATTTTCATAATAATATTCGATGCTATTTTATACTTGACCCATATTTTATTTTAAGAGAACATGGAGGCTATGAATAAATACTTATAATTTTAAACGATTCAATAGGAATAAAAAATGCACCAACAGTGATAGAGGGTTACTTACCTCAAACGCTTAGAAATAATATTCCACCACACTAACTACAGACACCCAGTTCCACCAATTCAATCACACAAACCTAATAAATAGAACCTCAAATAAATTAATATTTTGATGTCTTTCACACATCAACAAGAACCCATTATATATATATATATATATATATGCTTAAAGTCCAAGAGACACCAAATCAATCCACCCAATTCAATAGCCAAACACACCTTACCCAATGTACAAAACCCAAAAGTCAAAACACACCCACCCACCCAAAATGCTCCACTGTTTCAACTCTTTACCTAGACCACACTCCACACGTGGGTCTATTCGTCAACCTCTCAAACCGAATAGGCACCTACAGGTTACATAAAGCTTCAGACCTTTTTTTTTTTTTTTTTTCAAACGAAAATTAATAACTTGTTGGTGATACAAGAATCTTACCCCAGTCAATGGTTGAATACTTGAACCTCTCTCTTTGTTTTTTTCTTCTTTACTTTTTCAAACCCTTGTTGCCTCCAAAACTCTTCACCGTAAATCCCTAGCCTCTGTTTTTATTTTTATATATTTTTTTCTCCAAGGCTTAAAGCTACAACATGTAGGCTTATTAACCTAATTTTCCAAGATTACAAAATTACCCATCTAAGTAATAGAAATTATAATGTCATCTCATAACTAATTATTTGATATTAATAAATAACCCATATAAATTAATTTAATTACTAATCTATCCAAAAATAATTATATACAAAACTTGGGTTTTACATTCTCCCCCTCTTAAAAGAAATTTTGTCCTCGAAATTTGACATACCTAGAGTCTCAAAAAGTTGTGGATACTTTTGTCTTATTTCATCCTCGAGTTGCCAAGTAGCTTCTCTTTCCGAGTGATTGCTCCATTGAACCTTAACATAGTGAATGTCTCGACGCCTCAAAACTTGTTCCTTCCTATCAACAATTCATATAGGGTTTTCCTCATAGATCAAATTTTCCTGAAACTGCAATGGTGCATGATCAATCACATGACTAGGATCCGGTATATACTTCCTTAACATTAAGACATGAAAAACATTATGAACTCAAACTAGTAAAGGTGGTAGGGCAAGTCTGTAAGCTACCTCTCCAACTCGATCTAAAACCTCAAATGGTCCAACAAATCTAGGACTCAATTTACCCCGAACACCAAACCTCATTACTCCTTTCATAGGAGACACCTTAAGGAACACATGGTCTCCAACCCCAAACACCAAATCGCGTCTTCTATTATCTGCATAACTTTTATGTCTACTCTATGCAGCGCGAAGTCGCTCTCTAATAAGATTGATCTTGTTCGCTGTTTGTTGCACAATCTCAGGCCTTAACAGCTTCCTTTCACCTACATCATCCCAACAAATAAGTGATCTACACTTCCGTTCATATAAAGCCTCATATGGTGCCATTTGAATGCTCGCATGATAACTGTTATTATAAGAGAATTCCACTAAGGCCAAATGCTCATCCTAAGAACCTCCAAGATCAATAACACAAGCCCTCAACATGTCTTCAAGAGTCTGAATAGGGTCCGCTCGAGCGGGGGCCCTGTTTTCTGAAATTTTGTTTATGCATTCCGAGTTCCGTTTTCTATTCTCTTTCACTTCCAAGTACTCTTAGGCATACATTGAGCATTGTAATTGAATTAAAGAGATAAGAATAAAGCCTAAAGAGGAAAATGTGAATTTAAGAACGGATCGAATTGTTTGTGAACCTTTTTGTGTTCATGGAATGTGTAGGGTCAAGCTCCAGGGCAAATCCACAAACTGATCACTGTGAGTAATATCTTATTAAGATATTTGAAATATATTGTTGTTCAATTATTTACTTATATGTAAGTTTTGTAAGTTCATTAATCAGAATGGTGGACAACGATTGATATGAATGATTGGGCCGAAGGCCGATTGATACGAATGATTGGGCCAAAGGCCGATTGACATGAATGGTTGGGCAGAAGGCCGATTGACATGAATAATTGGGCCGAGGGCCGATTGACATGAATGACTGGGCCGAAGGCCAACTGACATAAACATTTGGGCCAAAGGCCGATAGATATAAATGATTGGGCCAAAGGCCATTTGCTGTAACTGTTTTAATGATTGCTTATGTATCTTCCTCATTTGATATTATTCACTGGGCATTCGCTCACGCTTATTCATGTACACGTAGGTGAGCCAAGGGACGTCCAAAACCAGCCCCGGTGAAATTGTGAGAAACAGTTGAAGTTTTGAGGAGTTAACCCAAACGTCTCACGCACGAGACTGTCTTTGCTTTTGTCCTTTGTTTATAGTTTTGTTATGTTGGCAAAAGCATTGGACTACTTGTGTATATAAGTCTTGGGTTCGACTGACTTTAACTTGTATGATCCTATATGTATAGCGTTTTGTGTTAGTACATATTTCGATGTGAGTTATTAACATATAAATGTTGGAATGCTATGGTGTGCACATAAGCACAGCTCTATAGACAAAGTTTTAATTTGCTCCCGTTTGGCCCCTTTACTCTGATGAGTTTTGTTTTAGTGGTTTGAGGTCGTAGGTAATCTCGCGATAACTGGCCGGTTATGGCCTTAACCCATAGGGGTGGGTTCGGGTCATGACAGTACCCGATCGTTCTGCTTGTCAACACTACCACCCTTAGTTCGACTTCCCCAACTCCCAACTGAAGAAGTGTTTGGTCTCTTAGCATTGCCTTTCGAACTGTTGTTAGTTTGAAAGTTGGTAGAACTAGATTTTTTCTTATAATTCTCTAATTTCTCTTTTTGGGATCTAGTGAGGCCACTCTCAACCAACAATGCCTTATTCAACACTGCTCCAAAAGTAGGTAACTCGAAAGGAACCACCTATTGCATAATGTTCGTTCTAAGCCCACCTTCGAACTTTCGTGCTCTGCTATCCTCGTCTGCTTCAAATGCTAATGCAAACTTAGACAACTTTGTAAACTCGGCTTCGTATTCTGCAACCATCTTAGTCCCTTGCTCTAACTTCAAAAATTCCCTCTGTTTTTGTAGACGAAGACTCCTAGGGAAGTATTTCTCATTGAATCCATTCTTAAACATTTCCCATGTATAGGGGTTGGCATCATGCTCATGTATCCGCTTCTCCATTTGCCACCAATCGTTAGCTATCCCTTGTAGCATAAACGTAGCATAGGTCACCTTCTAATCATTCGTACACTCAAAAATGGGAAACAACTTTTCCATTTTTGTCAACCATTTTTCAGCCTCCAAAGGATCTGTGGCTCCGTCAAATGCCAAGGCCATCTTCTTAAACTCAGTAATGTTACAACGTGGCCTCGGTTGTGGCCTAACACCTGGCTGCATCCGTTGTTGTTGCTCCATAAGTCTAGTCAAGTTATTCCCTATGGTGGTTTGTTGTTGCACCACCCCGACCAAAGTCTAAAGCACTTGAACCATTCCAACTGGATTGGAGATTACAGCTTGTTCTTGTTGTCCCAACTCTTGCTCCTGATTTTCTCTAACTTCTTGAGAACCACTACCAATATTAGTCACATTCCCTCGCCGATTGTTATTACCAGTCTATCGATTCGTTTGACCTTGGTGTGTATTCCTAGCCATATTTGC